GTGCCACAGTCGTAGTAGTTTGCAGGGCAACCTGGCACTCGAGAGGGTGATGGTACGGCTGGCGGAGGTGCAGGGGACCAAGCGCCTGGACAATAAGGGCAGGTCTCCATTGACACGCAAAAGCAAGATCCACAGTCCACAAAACCACTGGGACAGTATGGCACCGTTGATGGAGTCCAAACAATGTGTGGTTCAGTCCCATTGCTTCCAGTCTCGTTAGTGTCGTTCTCAGTCTCATTCTCCAACTCTGGTGGTGGCAGCGTTGGAGGACCAGGTGGCCAAGCGCCACAACTCAAGCAATTTCCCGGAGGTGTGCATAGGCATCTTCCACAGTCCACAAACCCAGCAGGGCAGCCAACCACCCTGGATGGCACACCTGTGTTGTTGCCTCCACTCGGTGGTCTGCTCGGTGGAAGCCCTTCGCAACGGGCGCAGTTCGTGTCTTGAGTGCAGAAGCAGCTCCCGCAGTCCACAAAGCCTGCAGGGCATCCAGGAATCGTGGAGGGTCGCCCCGTCGCAGTCCGTCTGGTCCTCGGAGAGGGAGGTCTCGGGGTGTGGAATCCGACAAAAATGGTTGGTCCGACCATCGGAAAGAGAAACGCCCAGCAGTTCCATGCATGGAACTGGGTGCCAAGTTCTTGGAGGATAAAACAAGAATCGGTGCCCGGAACATCCACTCACGTGGGGTCCAAGTGAAGCAACATGGAGCTCTGGAAGTAAATGCTGACCCGAACGTGCCACCTGCGACCCACAACCGCTCAGATGCCTGTGTCGGGTAAATGGACCAAGAACCATCACAACTGCATCTCACGGTTCTCCTACTAAAAAACCTGAAAATCACGACCGGCCCGTGAAATATTGTTAAATTCAGAGCTGCCTGTGTGCGAAGGCATAAAACCACTTGTAAAACAAATAGATGCAAATGAAAAAAAAATTGCACCTCGAACACTTCCCCAACTCAACGGAAAAGAGTGCCTCGGACAGACGAGCGGCGTTGGAGGACTTGGCTTCTCAGCTCCTCTCAAAGATGCCCACGCAGGAAGAATCAGCAGGAAGCCTTGCGCGACGAGGCCGAAGCAGAAGGACTGCAAGGTTGAGAAGGAAACAATGCCATCCTGAGGAACATCTAGTCAGGATCAGGATATTGTTTCTCTAAAGTTTGCCATGGCTGAATGCGGATTGCATGGTGCGATTCCAGCCTGCAAGAACGGTTATCCTCACCATTGCACTCCACTAGGCTACGATTCGTCCTTTGATCTTTGGAGCCTCGTCTCAAGGCGGCAGAGAAGGGAATCGCACTCTCACATGCTCCAGAGTCTTAGACTCCTCTTCAACTTCTTTCCTGACTCTTGTAACAAAGGCCTCAAAAAACGATAGCCAAGGGCGCTTCAAGTAGCAAGATGAAGAAAACATTGCAACTCAAAAGGAAGGCGGCGCCAGCAACCTATTTGCAATCCCAAAGCACAAAAGAACTTTACTGCGAGTGACCCCCGCCATGACATGTCAATCCTTTGTTCTCATGTGGAAACGAACAGTCAAACACAGTGGCTCACGCAGGACGTTTTTGTCTAAAGCAAACGTCTTTTGTGAGACACATGCCCGGCTAACTTTCCAATTGATCTCATTCAACCTGGCGGCCATTGCTATCTCAGGTTTGGTCAGTCAAACAGGTGCATGTCAAAACATGCCAACCCATACTGGCGCGTAATCAGCATCGATTCTGCCAGGTGCGGCCATACATCCAATTCTTCCACTGGGTCTAAACCGCCCAACACAATCCGGCACCTTTTCATCATGCATTTGGCACGTTTCCCCAAGCCACATAGCCAACAGACACCCCTGCCAGGCCGGCATTGAAACAGGGCCACACGATCGGTACCATAGTCTCTGCTGCCACTGCTGCAGACTCTTGACACAACAACTCCAGACGCGAAACTTTCCATATGTATTCCAAATCTTTGAGACACATACATCTGCCAGCGACTTGAATACAGCTTCGAGTGTATAGCAGCATTGCCCACACGCAGTATCATGCGCCGATGTTCCACACACATGCAAACAAACGCCATCCAATCGCAGCACCATTCAGGCATCGTCATCCGGAACCAGGAAATGCATTCATGAAATGATATTCATGGAGTGTCAACGTACCATATACTGACTGTATATTCCATGTATCTGTACATACCATATACATACACTGTACATGTCTCTGTGTTGCACGGCTCACAATCAGAGTGAAGCTGCTCAGTTCAACAGACTGAGCAGCAGATATTTCTATTATCTACTTGTCTCAGTCGCACGGCAAGTGTCAAGTTGAAGCTCCCTAGGCGCCGGGCCCAGCGCTTCTAAGTCATGAAATGAAGGCAAGTGGTAACAGTAGTACGTAGTGGTAGTGGTCGTGGTGGTGGTGGTGGCGGCGACGGTGGTGGCGGTGGTGGTGGTGGTGGAAATATTTTTAGTCGTTGGTGGTTGTGCTTTGGTGCTTGTGTGTGTGTGTGTGTTGTGTTAGTGTTTGTGGCTGTCTTGTGTGTTTGCGTGTGTGGTTGTGTATTGTGCGTTGTGTGTGTGTTTCTGGCGGTGTTTGTGGTTGTATGTTGTGTGTTGAGGTAGACCCTCACCTGAGAAGGAAGGGGGAAAAACACAGGCTCATAGGCATCTGTGGTGTGCATCGGTCCAAGCCGCCTTTTCAAGCTCTGCAAGCTCTGCAAGCTCTGCTATACGACTCCCAAAGCTTTACCCAGCTCTTGTGGGCCTTGAAGTTCATTCTAAGCAATCAAGAAGATGGAGCTGGTCAACATAACATCCTTGCGTACATCTAACTACTGCTTCCAAAAGCAAACAATTACCGAGTAATATGGCAGGAAAGAGAACCAGCTACCCTGTGCGCTTTCTTGTTGATTGAATTATATAGCAATTATTAGCAATTGCCAGCGAAGCACAACTGTACACTTGCTAGCTTTACAAGCAAGAGGATGTGAAAAGCGCTGCCTAAAGTTAAGCAACAATTGACAGGTTCTTCACTCAAAGGGATACCTAAGGATGGACTGTCTGGTCGGAAAGATTTCCGATGAAAGACACACCTCCCGGACACCACTGGCAAGTGCCGCGAGGGACACATTGGCAGGTTCCACAGTCAACATAGCCCCTGGGGCACCCTGGCACTTGAGAGGGCCTTGCTGCGGAATTTCCTGGTGCACCTGGTGCTGGCGCAGGCAACGCCGGTGTGCTACCAGGACACCACTGGCATGTGCTGTG